TGTTGTTGTTGTTGTTGTTGTTGTTGTTGTTGTTGTTGTTGTTGTTGTCGTCGTCGTCGTCGTTATCATCCTTTTTCTTTTTCTTCTTCTTCTTATTATTATTATTATTATTATTATATCGTGCTAAGACTTGTAAGAATAATTAAATCATATAATTCGATGATTTGGAAATAAAAAAAAAAGGATCAAACGTCTTGATTTAATTCCTAAAACATAAAATGCTTCGAATTATTGATCTTTCAATTATCTCTAGCACACTCGTTAAATACCTGTTTAACTGCATCAATATAGAAGTTCGATAATCCATTTTTTTTGCAATTGCAATTTTGAATTATATATAAAAATTATATAAGAAAAATGAAATTCTAAGAATGCGAATAAAACTTCCAATTCTGAACTTTGTACATTGGTTTTGTAAAGTTTTATTTTTTTTTTTTAAATAGCATCATATTAATATTTTTTTAAAGTAGCGTAAGATTAATCTTAAAAAATAACGATATACGAAAATATGGCAGTTTTTTTGTTTTCTCAATTTGCTACGACAAGTCACAAGACTTGTTACGACGAGTCGTGAACTCAAAAACTAGCGTAAAAAAGTTAATAAAGGATCAGAATGATTTCGAATCATTCATCTAATCAGGCAGTGATCGGATAAATAATTCGTTTAATTAAACACTTGCGACTGATCCTAAATCATTTGCTCATTTATCGAATGAAATCGAGCTCGAATACACATTATGTTCGTATTTCGTTGATTTTCCATTCAGTTTCTTAAAAAAAATATGAAAAAAAGTTGCTCGCTTAATATCCGTGCAACGGATTCATTTTCTCAAAAAGCACGTCTTTTTTATTAATTTCATTCTAGTTTTAATTTCAGTTCGTTTTACGAACATCATCACAGAGAAAATTGCTTCATTGATTCGATCTAGTCCGAGTGTGTATGATGAAATTTCTTATTGCCTTTTTTTTTTTTTTTTTTTTTTCTTTTTTCCTTCCTTCTCAATTGATATTTTTAAATTCTAGAAATATTTATAACCGGCCTTTCCATTTCTTTTCTTCATTCGTTGTTACACAGAAATATAACGTCTCTTTAAATATTCGGTAACAATTTTTCGAAATCTTTTTAACAGTTCGGAATTTTCGGTGTCCATCAGTCATCATAGAGAGATTCGAAGCTTCTCGCGTTTCTTCGTTTCATAAATGTCCTTCCAACCTTTCAAATTCCTTATCCTGTTATTAATAATCTTCGTGAAATATTATTTGTTCCTTCAACGACGAACAAAAATCTTCTCTATCATTTCGTAATATTCAAATTTATACACATACATACATCGCGATACTTATGTGTATCAAGTTCACGATATTCAAAAGTATCTTCAATATTCAAACGAATAATTTATCAAGCTCGTTCTTCGTCCTTTCTTGATCTCGTTTTCAATGGATATTGTTCATAGATCGGCCAACGATTGTCAAAAATTCTCCCGATTTAAAGGAAGATGCATATATATCACCGAGAAAGCTTTAATAAATTCTTCAAAAGCGATATATCGTCCTTCTTCTCGTACTATTGCGTCCACTGATGGACCAACAAACGATTGTCAATGGACATCGACGCGGTGTCGTTTCCATTTCAATTCGACCGGTATCCTCCGTTCGAGGGTCTCTTCGAGGAAAATTTAAGCTGGTGCCTGTACCACAGGTCTATGAAGTGGCACTGATATCACATATATGTCTACCTTCTCTCCAGAAGTCTTGTCCGTTATCTCGCCATAGTTCACAGAATCGTACGAGGGTGGCGCGAACAAATGATAAGGTGGGGGTGGTGTTTCGGTTACTACCGGTCCGTTGATCACGTCGTTTCGTTGAGAATAAGGGACCGATAGTGACCTTCCACCACGACGACAGCACCATTCCGAACAACTGACGATGAGGAAAAAAGCGACGAGGCCGCCGAATGAACCGATGTACCAGACGATCGACCAGGGATCCA